CGTGAGCCCAGCGACACCTGAATGACTGATGAAGAGTGCCAGGGCGACGCACGGTTGAGAGCAGCATGACTTTTTTCGGTGGTAGTGCACATGCTACATTCGGTACTGGCGACTCGGGTGAGTGTGGTACATAGGTACGTCCATGCCCGCGCGTGGGAACGCACCTTGGCTGCAAGTGCGAGCAACGGCGCCCCCGCTGCCCATGCCGCTGCCGCCGCAGATCAGCGGCCCATGCAGCCGCAGCACCTCAGCAGGTCGCTCAGGAGTCGGCATGGCCGGGCTCTGTTGGCTCGGGGTCTGCACCGGCCCTCGCCGACAGCCTGCACGCTGTCGCTGCTAGCAAGGCATATCTTGAAAACGGCATGCCCGCGTGCGCGCCTCGCCGCCACTCATAAAAGCACCCAAGAAATTGTGTCAATCAGCATGGGTGCTCGCTGCCGCGCCGGTGTTTGTTTCACCCCATTGCTGCTGCTGTTGTACGCTCCTTGTACCCGCCTCAACCCAGTGGTCCCCAGGATTCTCTCCGCGCCCTCTGTCGCAAGGCAGTTGCCGTGCTACAGTACGTCCATGATTCGCACTCGCAAGTCGCCGCAATGTCTTCAGGCCTAAACCATAACAATGCACCCGTCAGCCCGCCTGCCCGCGAATGCTCGCGTGCCAGCCCGCGCCACAGAGCATGCTGATGCCAAGGCTTACGTACTTTTGGGCGCCCTTTCTCGCGCCCTGCTGTCTGAATGCCAATGTCACAAACGACAACCAAGAGTTGCAATGCGCATGCACCCGGTGGCCGCTGGCTTTCCAGGGCAGCAGCCCCAACAGCCGCGCAGGGGCCGACGAGCAGCGGCCGCCGGTGGCAGGGGGAGCCTCACGCACAGGCCTTCAGCGAACCGCGCCTGCCCAACTGTTGCCCCACGCTTTGATGGCGTTTTTGCAGCGCCCTGCGCTCTGTCATCACGCACGCAACGCTCTCACTTCTCCATGCAGCAGCACGACCCGCCACAGCCCCCTTGTCGCTTACACGTTTGGGGATGCGCGCCGGCTCAGTACAGGCTGTCCAAGAGACAGGAGCCACTGCACGCCGCGATGCCTGAAACAAGGCAGCAGTCGTGTGGAACGCGGCGATTCACGCTGCCTTGGTGGTGGCAGCACGGCTGCGGATGCCTGTTACATCGAACATGATCGGAGGCGCAACAAGATGGAGGCAGCGCGTGCAATGATTTGTTTGCGCACCGGAATTAGTTGGCTGTATGTAGCCTCAAACAGCACGTCATGGTGCTCACCAGAGGGCCATGGTCAATCAGTCAAAGGGGGTTTCTTCAAAATACACACAAGTGGTGACTAGTATTGGGTTTGCAAAAGCGTGGAACAGGGTCATTCACTTTGTGGGCTTGTGCCTGCAAAGCAAGGGTGCAGCCAGCAGGCAGGCGGAAAGCGCCTGCGGCCCAGCAAGCCGGCGGGGCTGGCGGGAAGGTCGGCACTGCCCCCTGGCCCTGCCTGCGCCCCCACTTGCAATCCGCTCCAAAGCAGGGTCAACCTGCGGCGCCCATGGCGACTGCCACCGCTGCCTGCTCTTCTTCCACCTGCGACAAATCAACGTCCTGGGATGCCTGCAGGCTTGCAAACACCGGACTCGCCTCCAGCACCTCAAACGCGCCCCTGCTGATGCCAGTCAAACTGAGCATTTGCAGGCCGCCAAGCCAGGGCGCAGACACCAGGTGCGCCGCAACCCCGGCCGACATGACGGGCTTGAAGCACAAGGCAAGCCGCCGCAGCGATCCCAGGCGCGCGGCGGCAAGCGCCCCCCATGCGGCCCCCTTGCGGTGGAAGCGACCATCAACATAACTCAAATGGAGACAGGTCAGCTGCGGCGCCCAGCAGGCGCGCGCGACCGAAGCTATAGACGCGTCTGTGTGCGGGCATTCACACATTGAGAGGCTGCGCAAGGCTGCCAGAGGCGCGCATGCAACCGCCGCCACTTCTGCGTCTCCGTTCGCCGAGCTGTCGCTGTAGTGCCTTAGCCACAGCTCCTGCAGGCTGTCAGTGAGCCCCTCAGCCGCAAGCAGCGCCGCTATGCCGCGTGCTGTTAGTGCGTCTTGTCGCAACAACCTCAAGTTCACAAGCAGAATCAGCACACGCAGCGACGGCAGAACCAGCCGGCCAAGGCCCGCTGCAGTGGCATCGCTGAAACGGTCACAGGCAAGTTGCAAATGCTCTAAGCGGGGCGCGCCGCAGCCTGCAAGGTCATCACAGATGGCGGGCTCCCCGCAGCCGATGCTGAGTAATCGCAGCCTGCTAAACCAGGGTGCGCATATCATTGCTTGCATGCCGGTCCCGACGCGGCCGCCTGCGCCAGAGGTGAGTTGGCTGAAGCCGCTGCTTTGATGAAAATTCAGCTTGGTAAGGCGCGGCATCTCGAGCGCCGCCAGGGCGCAGAGCTCGTGCGGGGTGACGTGGCTGAGGGTCAGCTCCTGTCGGTGGCGGGCGGCAGAGCAGAGCAAGCTCGTTGCAGCAGCCAAGCGCCGTTCACAGCAGCTGCACCGCACCGCCAGGGTTTCACGCAGGCGTGCCTCAACACAACGACACCACCAAAATGACGATACAATATCAGACGGCCTCTGAGCTCGACCCGCATCGTCCCAGCCCACCTGCAATGGCAGCCAAGCCCCCAGGCGCAGTGCCGCGTCGAATCGCCCGACCGCCACGTCTTCAGAAGCCCGTTCTTCTTCGACGACACACAGGCGCTCCAGCAAAGGCAGACGCGCCGCTGCAGCAATATAGACTGCGTGGCATTCGAGGGCCGCGCTGTCCTGCTCGCCGCTGTCATTGACTATGACGTCGAGATTAGTCAGCTGCTGCAGCGCCGATGGCAGCCGCAGCCCCACCAGATCCAGCTGCCCGCTGGCTCCAGCATGCATAACTTCAAAACTGTCAATGCGACAGTGCCGCCCCAGGCTGGGGAGCGCCGTGGCGAGCGCGGCGACATCAGCTGCGCATTCTGTTATGACGCTAAGCTCGCGCAGCGCGGCCAGCCGGGGCGCAGCGGCGGCGAGGTCTGCGATGTGCGCCGCACAATCGACACGGACGCGCTGCAGGCAGCTGTCGCTGAAAGCCCTCGCTGCGCGGCTGGTCAGCCGCAGGGCTTGCACGCCTTCCCAACCCAGCAAGCGCAGCACTCGCTCCCCAACCTCGCGGGCCAGCGCAGGCGCTGCGCCGAATGGCCACAGCATGGCTACCTGGCTGGGAGCACATCGCTCATCCGAGCATCGAGCGGCTTCTTGATCGAGATTTGCCATTCCGACTATGAGTGCCCGGGGCTGTGATCTTGCACCACTGGATACAAGATGTAGATCGAGACGGTGACGGCCGACTACGACTCTAAGGTAATCGAGGTATACATTGTCTCAATATTGCGCAGCTTTTGGCTTCAAATGACTTACGGACCGTCACCATGGCAGGACACATCTGTAGTGACTAATCACCTGAACTGGATGCTGACATCAAACAAAGCTGCATATTGTCAGGAGACGCCTTTGAACGGACAACGTACTAAACAGCATCACATGACTCGGCCACGCAGAACTTTTCTGAGCTTGTGAAGGTCAAGCACAGTGGTCAGGCATGCGATGCGACTGGGGAGATCAGGAGCACGAAAAAGTAGTCCAGCGCAGACGGCATTGGACGTCTGCATATCATACATGTGCAACACATGTGCTTCTTTTGCTTCTACTGATATATATAGGTTAGTATGATGAAGTGAATGAAGGCTTTTGCTAATGCCTGTCCTGGGACTGCTCTGCACGCCGCGACGCCGACGTAGGCCGGGTGATCCAGACTCAAATACTGATGTCAAGGGCGAGCGCGAGGCACAATTGAGAGAAGCGTGGCATATTTGGTGCTTGTGCACATGACACACATGGGACAAATGAGTCGGGTTGATTGGTCACATAGGCATGTCCAGTCACCGGTTGTTCCTAAGTGTGCATGTTTCCTTGACGCGCCCGTGAGCCAGCGCTTGCTGCTAACAACGATTCAAGCGTCGAAGCGTGCACAGGGGCGGCTGTCTGTAGTAGTGCAGATTGCTGAAATGACCGCATTTGCCCTGCCGTGCAGTTGAGCGGCGTTTTCAAGCGCTGCAGCTGCGGCTATGCTGTACCACTGCTGCATGAATCATGACCCCGTCCGCACTCGTGTTTTCCAACAGAAGAGTCCATGGTAATTGAGCCCCCTTGTACGTCACGCAAGTCCAATCTACAGTAGTTTCAACCCATCTGAGGTTTATCAACATGGCAACCAAGCTGCTGGCGTGACAGCAGCTGCCAGCTTGCAGGTGAGTGCCACGGCTCAATGCGGTGATGGTGTGTGCATGTCGCTGCGAGCCGGGCGCATGGAGGTGGGGGAAGGTGTCTGTGGAATGCTAAAGTCCCATCACTGTTGCAGCAATCTACAGCTGGCTGCGTAATGCAGCAGAAGGCTGCACGCCGGCAGGTACACTATCATCATATGAAGTCTGCAGTCGGTGGTGAGTTGGTCAACAAACAGTCGTCCCCACTCCCAAAAGCAGCCCAGGCTTCACAAAAGCTGCGTGTAATTTTCTCAATGAGCATGATGCGATTTCCGTGATCAGAAACCTCAGCGCGAGCCCACGAGGGAGGCCTGGCCAGGGCACCGAGGGTGATAACTTGAGGCACCCGGGTTCAAGTTGTTTCCCCTTTTGGAAGTTCATAAGCCAAGGCTGTCCTTCCGAATGTGCACCCGAATTGATACTAGCACCTATCGACACTGCTTCGCTGTCTACCATACCTCACCGCTTTCAGTTCAGAGGCATTCACGCAGAGCTCCCTCTCTCTCGCCGCGTTCTGCCTCTACGCCGGTGTATTCTTGTATGAATAGAAGCTGACAGCGTCGTAGCAGTGTTGCTTTGCCAGCGAGGAGGGCGCCGTCGCCGATAAGCAGGCGCGCGCGTGCGCACCCTCCTTGCGCTGCGCTCGCACGCCTCCCCAATGCGGCCGAGGCACCGAGCATATCGCAGCGGCTCCAGCGGCGGCAGCAGCCTCGTAGTAGCCAGCAGCCTCGCCTATGGCGTTGGCGGCCTCGCACTCGCAGCGGCGGGCGTGGGCGCCGTCCTGGCGTACACAGCATTGGTAAACAAGCCACGCCGCAGGTGCGCCGGGGACGGTACGCCGGTGGCCAGCGCTTTTGGCCTAGACGGAGCACCGCGATGCGCTCTACACAGAGACGCAGGAGCAGCACCATGCGTTCTGTCCTGCAGTTGCATGTGACCACCGCCGCGCTGGCAGACCGCAGCAGCAGGCCCAAGCACAGCGCATGCGCGTCCCCTCCCTCGCCGGCTTGCGGCCGCACTCGAGCCACGCTCGCGCCTCTTGCCGTAGGACCGGGCTTTCTCGGGAGCAATGGGAGGCGGCCGTGACAGAGGACGGCGCCATTGTTGGCTTTGAAGCCCTTGTGCACGAGATTTCGCAGCGGGTGCGCGTGCCCATTCGGGCAGCTGCGCGGCAGCTGCTGCCACCAGCACTTCAGCATGCAGTTGGAGCATGATGAAGATGTTGTGGAAGGCGCTTTTTGCATGAGGAGACACCGACAGGTCCTCCGCGGCACATGGCACCCGCTGCAGCCAGGTTCTGTGAAGCTCGCAGAACCTGGCTGTCGCTTCAAATCCTTGCCCTCCCACGCACACCCCCAGGGGCTAGAGCCCGAGCTGCGGTCGGAAGTGTGGCCCTTCTTGCTGGGCCTGTTCACCCCCGAGTCCTCGTATGAGGAGCGGCGGCGCCAGCACGCCCTGATGGTGCAGCAGCACCAGCAGCTGCTGCTGCAGTGCCAGGCGCTCGAGGCCGCGCTGCGCGACTGCGTGCGCGCGCGCGACGCGGGCGACGCCGCGGCCGCGGCGCTCGACGGCGGCGCCCCACAGCAGCAGCAGCAAGCAGCCAACGGATCGGCGAGCCCCCAGCAGCAGCAGCAGCAGCAGCAGCAGCAGCAGCAGCTGTCGCCGGAGAAGCCGAATGGGGGAGGCGGCGGCGCGGGGGCGCCGCCCTTCGAGCTGCCGGCGCAGGTGGTGCAGTTTGCTGAGGCGCACCGCATCATCGTCATTGACGCGGTGCGCACAGACTTCCGCAAGCACTCTGTTGCGGGCGTCTACAGCAGCGCTGCGGCCACCCACACCACGCACGCGGCGGCGGCGGCGGCCGCCCTGGCGGGCGTGGACGGCGGTGCGGGCGCAGCGCCCGAGGCAGGCGGCGGCACGCTGTTCGGCAGGGCGCCTGCGGTCGACCCGCTCGTTTTCAGCTGGGTCAGTGGCTGGCTTGGGAGCCACCCAGGCGGCGTGTGGGGCGCGGCCGCGCCGCGGCTGTGGGTCAGCGAGATCGCGCAGACGGTGCTGGACAGCAGCGGCCACCTGGGCGAGGAGGGGCGGCGGCAGGCGGCGCGGCTGGTGGCGCTGCTGTCGGCGTACGCTGTGTTTGACCCTGACACGGGCTACTGCCAGGGGTGAGGGGTCCACATCTCGTGACTTTTGCCCTCGCCGCATCCGTGCCAGGGCCTCTTGGACATGAGTGCACCACCCTGCTTCCCGTCCTGCCTGGGTCCAGCAGGAGCTGCGCACGCTGCATCCTTTGCCCTGCCCCAGCTCGCAAGTCCAGGCGTGCGCTTGCTTTTACAGGTTGCCCCGGCCGCTGCATTTCGATCCCCTCGCCCGCGGAACACACACACCACACACAGACACATGTGGTCGCACACATATACACATACACAAACACACGCACTCACACCCCAGCATGTCTGACCTGGCGCTGCCGCTGCTGGTGCTGCTGGAGGACGACGCCCTCGCCTTCTGGTGCTTCGCCGCCCTCATGCGCACCTTCAACGCGCGCGGCAACTTCGCCGTCGACGAGAGCGGCATCTTCGGCCAGCTGCGGGCGCTGTCCGGCGTGCTGGGGCGGTCGGACCGCGTGCTGGCGCACAAGCTGCAGGCCATGGGGGCGGCGGACTGCCATTTTGCGTACCGCATGGTGGTCGTCATCATGAGGCGGGATTTGCCAATTGCTCAGGTGGGGGTGGGGTGGGGC